AAAAATCCCTTCACCCAGCATTTTTCTCCTGGGAAGCCTCAGAGAAAAAGGAAAACAATTCTTACCTTATTTGCTTCTCCTGTGTTTGCTTCTTTGGAATGTGTTTGGAGATTGTTTATCCACAGGTGATTGTTTCATTGGATTCTGCTGTGAATTACAGTATCATAAAGTAATAAATTAACCTCTGAGTACATGGAGTCAGATGCATCATTCCTCCTTCATCGAGGCACCCTGCAAATGCAATAGCAGAGTCCTGTACCTGGGGAAGAATAACCCTGAGCACCAGAAACCCTTCCCTGTGAGGATGATGAGCTCTGGCACAGGGTGCCTGGAGAAGCTGTGGCTGTCCCTGGATCCCTTCAAGTGTCCAAGCCTAGGTCAGACAGGGCTTGAAGCATCCTGGGCTAGTGGAAGGTGTCCCTGCTCATGGTAGGGGGATTGGAAGTGGATGATCTTCAAGGTCCCTTCCAAGCCAAGCCATTCTGGAATTCTGTGATATGTGAAGAACTAAGAAAATATCCAACAAACATCAGGTACGTTTATTTTACCAGTGGAATGTTGTCCGAAAAGCAATTGGTGCTTGATTCCTCTGTTAGGAAAAAAAAAAAAAAAAAAATTCCTGAATTTTAACAAAGTTCTGAAATTCAAACGCAGGGTCCTGCACCTGAGGGGAACAACCCCAGGCACCAGCTCAAGCTGGGGGTGACCTGATGGAGCAGCTCTGGGGAGAAGGACTTGGGGTTGTGCTGAACAAGAAGTGTCCATGGCAAGCAGTATGTCCTTGTGCCAATAAGGCCAACAGGATCCTGGGATTTATTAGAGAATTTCCAGGAGGTTAAGGGAGGTGATCCTGCCCCTCTGCTCAGCCACATTCCAGATTCCACATCTGAAGTGCTGTGTGCAATTCTGCTCCTCAGGACAGGAGGAACCTGGAGCTCCTGGAGATGATGAAGAGGGGACTGGAGCATGTCCCTTACAGTGCAAGGCTGAGAGAGCTGAGGCTGTTCAGCCACAAGAAGAGACATGTGAGAGTGGATTTATCAATGCATGCAAATATCTTAATGGTGGGTGTCAAGAGGAAGGTGCCAGACTTTTTTCTATGGTGCTCAGCAACAGGACCATGGGGAGTGGGCATAAACTGAAGCATGGGAAATTCCACCTGAATATGAGGAAAATAATTTATCCTGTGAGAGTAACAGCACTGGAGCAGACTGTCTGGAGAGGTTGTGGAGTCTTTTTCATTGGAGATATTCAAAACCTGCTTCAGTGGTTGGACTAAATGATCTTAGAGGTTCCTTCCAACCCCAACCATTCTGTGTTTCTCTGAAAAATTCCATTCCCATCAATGAAGCCAGGATTTGTCTGCAGCTGTTTATTTGGAAAAGTAGGCTAGGTTTGTGCTTGGAGGCTTTGCTATGTCCTTCCAAGAAGTTGATAACCTTTCCACAAATGCCCTCCCTGAGAGGAAACAATCAGCAGAATGAGAATCTAAATGAGTTGAAGCAGAAAATTAATCAACCAGGAGGCTTTAATGGATTAACTCCTTTCCAGGCTGTGTCCCTTCCAGCATCCCTCCACCTTTCCAAGGACAGGGTGAGCATGAGAAGTGTCCCCTAGCCTGGAGATGTGCCTAGCAAAGCCTGGCTCAGCTGGTTAGGGAAGCATGCCCAGTCTTCTGCACCATTTGCTGAACAAACAATCATTTAATCTCCAATTAATCAGGTCTCTTAGGCAAATGCTAAACTGACCCCTAATACTTCTCTGACTTCTGCAACAAAGTGCTGAGAAGCCCGAGTTACTGGGGGCTTTCTTTTTTTATTTTATTATGCATATCATTTTATATTATTTTATTATTTGATTTTCAAAGAAGGCCAATGATTCCATTATACAGTAGAGTATCTGACTCACCCTTAAAACTATCTTCAATGTTTCTGCAAACCCCAGGATTGCTAATGTTTAAATCAACAAGAAACAAAATTAGTTCCATCACTCTTTTTATCAGGAACTCAGCAACTACAAAAGAAAATCTCACAGTAAAATTGCTTCCCACTCCTAAATCCTGTGCTGTGTCACAATTTAAATAATTCAAAATTTCCACAAAGTCCCTCTGTTCCTGAAGGAGGTAATCAATCAGATTTTTTCATTGTGTTTGCAGGTTAAATATTCACTAATGGTTTATTAGCACATATACTGTAGATGATCAACTGCATATCATTTTATATTATTTTATTGTTTGATTTTCAAAGAAGGCAAATGATTCCATTATACAATATAGTATCTGACTCACCCTTAAAACTATCTTCAATGTTTTTGCAAACCCCGGGATTGCTGATGTTTAAATCAACAAGAAACGAAATTAGTTCCATCACTCTTTTTATCAGGAACATTTGATTTTCAAAGAAGGCCAATGATTCCATTATACAGTAGAGTATCTGACTCACCCTTAAAACTATCTTCAATGTTTCTGCAAACCCCAGGATTGCTAATGTTTAAATCAACAAGAAACAAAATTAGTTCCATCACTCTTTTTATCAGGAACTCAGCAACTACAAAAGAAAATCTCACAGTAAAATTGCTTCCCACTCCTAAATCCTGTGCTGTGTCACAATTTAAATAATTCAAAATTTCCACAAAGTCCCTCTGTTCCTGAAGGAGGTAATCAATCAGATTTTTTCATTGTGTTTGCAGGTTAAATATTCACTAATGGTTTATTAGCACATATACTGTAGATGATCAACTTTGATTAATATCTAAATGCTACAAAGTTTCTCATATTTAATAAATATTTTCAGTACTGCCTTATTGCTTTATCAACATAAATTACAATAACTGTCTAATAATTGTAAATCAATACAAACCCTGCAGTAAATCATTCTGAAGCAGAGAGCTGTTAAAAAAGGAAATCACAGAATCATTTAGGTTGGAAAAGTCCTCTAAGGTCATCAAGTCCAACAATTTCCCCAGCACTGCCCAGGCCACCACTAAACCATGTCCCCAAGTGGTTTTTAACCACCCCAGGGATGTCTCAGTGCTGCCACAGTTTTCCTGTTCCTTTCCCATGATGATCTAATGCAATGCCAGTCTGAACTTCTCTTTCATTCCATTTTTATACTTTCATTGCTAATTTTTACTTTTTTTTCCCCCCTGAACCCTCAGCAGCTGGGACAGTATATTTGTTAAATCATCTCATGTGAACACAATTTTTTACCTTGCCTCAATTCATTGAGATTAGGAATGTGGGGCATTTGGGATTTTTTTGCTATGGGCTGAAGATGCCAAGTGTGATTCTTGAGGTCTTGTGATTAATTTTACTTTGCCTCTGCTTATCTCCTGATATCTCTTCTATCTGGTTATTTTACTGAACCTTGTGTAGGCACTGAAACCAACACTCCTTTGTGCATACACCTTGGAGAGAGTGAATTACAGAGCCTTGGTTTCAGCAAAGTGGGCTTTATGAAGGGACTTCTGAGAATCACAGGATGGTTTGGGTTGGAAGAGACCTTAAATATCATCTCATTCCAACCCCTGCCACAACCAGGGACACCTTCCACTATCCCAGGTTGCTCCAAGCCCTGTGCAACCTGGCCCTGGACAATCCCAGGGATGGCACAGCCACAGCTTCTCTTGGCAACCTGGAGATAGAGCAGTCCTGTGTCTGGATTTAGGTTGGAAGATGTTGCTTTCTGCTGGCTGTTCCCCTGGGTATCCTCCATGGCAATGGAGAGAGGGAAGTCTTCCTAAATAGCAGTTCCCAAAGTAGTTCTCTGAAGCAGGCAGGATACATCTTCCTCCACAAGTGACAAAAAAGGAATGACTAACTTTGATTCCACACCTACCTTTTGGATGGCTGAAGTTAAGGAGGATGAATCATGCTGCTGCTGCACTGGTTTCCCTCCTCTTTACAGAACAAGGGTTTTATTGTTGCTTCTATCTTCACGCAGTCCTTGCCCCAAAATCTCTCCTAGTTTTGTAGTCTTGGAAAGACCTATTTTACAGAGTCATGCTGTTGAGTTGAAATCACAGGCGGGAGTCTTGGTATGAGGGGAGCAAAACCCACTGGACTGAACTGCAGGATAAGCTATTTGGTGAACTGCCTTTCAATAAATTTTCCTATGATTATTTTCTCTGGATTGGACAATCTGTTTAATGTTTCCTGCTCTTTCAATGTGGGCCATTATGTCTGGGATGATTTCAGGCTCCTAATGTGAGTGTAAGTACTTTTAACAACAAAGTCTTTACTGTGCTGGAGTGAGTCACTCCCAGCCAGCAGAACTGTTTGTTAAAATTACTGCCAGTTCCTGCATTATTTGTCAAAAATCACTTCTCACCAATTCTATTTACTAGGACTGATATGCCCTCCCTGAACATTTCTGCTACAAAACCTCTGCTCAAGTCTTCCAGTGCTTGATGAGCACAATTTATGACACCTTCCACACACCCCCTTTATAGCTTGGTGTCTATATTTGCTTTGCTATGTGAAATCATCCTATCTTAATTTTTTTTTTTTTTTACTAAACAAAGAAACTATAATTTACAGGTATTAGAAAATGCTGTCAAATTCTTCCCTCTTGCTCACTAAACTGATCTGTCAATATATATTTTTAGCAATATCCTGTAATATTCCCACAAATATTGGTCCCACTTGAAACTTTTAAAACCACATGCAAAACTTCAGCTGCAGCAATAGATGCATAAACAACCCAATATAGCAGAAAAATGAAGATTATAAGAGTATTTAGGTGCTGCTGCTCTCTAGGAAGTTTTCTGTATTTCTTAAAAAATATCAGGGACAACTAAAAAAAAAAAGAACAAGTCATGTGTGTGGGAGAATGATGGACACAAGATATTAATTCTTGGAATCTGTAAGCTGTAGTGTACAAAATGAAGCCCAGAGCCATATGTTTTGGAAGTGTTAAATAACACCAACTTTCCTTTCCAACAGGCACAAGCCAGCCAACTAGACTGGGAGATGTCATTAAATGAAAAGAAAATAATAGAATTATCAACTATGAAGTTTATTTTTCCTCAAAGGATGATACAACTTATCTCAGAAGCTACAGATGTGCATCACTATGGCCTAATATTGAAGATTTACGGGTTATATACTCAGAAAAAACCAACACATTCACTTTATTTGAAACTGGTGCAGTTCATGCACTTTCACAGAGCGCTTCTTGCATCAAGGCTGTAACTTCTGACAACATTAGGACTCTTAAAAAAAAACAAAACCCAAGGACTCAAAATGATGGGTAATCAATAAGTTGCTTTAGTAATCTGTTACGCAGAATCCCCATGGTTTTAAAATGTGTGTTTCATTTCCAAAATAATTTAAGTGATTTTGTCCGTTGGCTTTTGCCATGCTTCTGTCAGCCAGATTAAAGAGCTTTCCATTATCAGAAGTCTTCTCTCCGTGTTCCTACTTATAGATTAGAAGGTGACTTAATCATAATCTTTCCTCAGATAAACTAAACAAATCAATATTGTTCCGTCTTTGGCTGTAAAAAAGGCTTTCGAAACCTCTATAAATCTAAACACTGTTTTGGACTCACTACTTTGCAAGGCGTGGTTTCATATCTGAAATATCTGACATATTTTCTGCTCCTATTTGTATGGTTTCCCTGGTTTTATTGAAGTTTCTGCAGCTCAAATCAGGCCACCTCACCAAAGGGTTCACAATGTTCTGTGAAATCAGTGTTTTATTGATATTATTTTTTTATCAGTGAAAGCTCTTGTTGATGAATGATGTAGGGGTGCAGTCTGATCACTTACCCCATTTATTATCCAGATATTATTTAGGTTTTACAGAGTTCTGATGGATTTTGTTCACATTTGGTTTACAGACTCCTCTCAGAAAACCACTAAAATAGTATTCCTCTATGATCTTAGCTGTCTTTTCTACTAAATGATTCTATAATTTATCAGAGTTTCACATGCTGCTTCAGCTTTTCACTTCTGGATGGCTTTTTGATAGACCAAGTCTGATGACAAAGCTCAGAAAACACTATGAATTGATTGATTGATTGATTTGCTTTTAACTGAACAAGTTTGGGAGTCCTGGTCTGCCTTTAGTGAGCCAATTTTTTGCTCTGAAATTTGCCAAAATAACTCACAAAGTTTACGTCCTTATTGGGCAAAGGCTGCAAATACCATGGGATATTCTCTTTATTTGCACATACAAGAGGTGCTGACAGTATTTGTGACAGCTTGTGGGCTTGTTTCACATCACTGCTAAAATATTTCCAAATTTACATCATATGGTGGAGTAGCCAGAGATATTTTCACGTGGTTGTCCTGCAAATGTACACCAGGAAAGTCTTGTACCTCTAAACCTAGCGGGGACAATGTAGGGAAGAGTCTCATTATATTGCCAAATATTTCTATATATATACTTTTAAACTTCTCATTTACATGTGTTTCAACAGTCTTACAGAAGGTGGTAGCAGCTACCCTAAAGAAAGCTTTGAGCCTCTTGCATGACTTCCTTTTCCAGGAAATAGATGTCTTTTTTTTCAGCTGGAGACCTCTTTGCTCTTTAATCCTATATAGGTTTTATAGAGGAAGAAGTTGAATCACCCTTTTCCAGTGAAAATATCCTAAGGAATAAGAACATTTCATGTGTTGTTCATGTGTTTACGACCAAAAAGTCAAATTTAAATCAGAATCTCAGCACCATAATCTTTTAGCAAATGTTACCAGCTGTTCAGCTCCACACTTTCTTCCTTCTTGAAGTAAGTAGGAAAGTGAAAATCCATCATATCAGTCAGCTAGAGGTTCTTAGTCCCTTTACCTTGACAGATGATACATCAGAGTGCCTGTCTTCTTGGAAATTTTAGTTTTAATGGGCTGGGATCCATCTTCCTGCAGATACTAAAATAAAAATATGCATCAAGTCATTTAGATGACTTAAGCCTATATATATAGGCTCACTTTTAGATGTTCCTCTGAGAAATAGGACTTAATTTTTCTTCTATGTCTATTTGTTATGTCACACACAGCCTATTTTTCTTCATTGAAATGGCCAATGAAAACAGCATGGCTGCTCTGCTATTATGATATCCTTCCAAATGCTAACAAGTGTGAGACTATTATTAAAAAAAAAAAAAAAGTAGAGGTGTGTAATAGGCAGAAAAATTCATCTCAGGGAAATTCTGAGAAATTTGCCAACAAAATTAATATATGAGAGGAAAAAGGAATCATGAAAGGACAATTGGAAAAAAAACACCCCACCCACCAGGAGAAATATTTTCTAAGTGTTACAGTCAATTGGATATCAGGAAAATTCCTTCTTCAGGCACATATAATTCTTTATTACATATAAACATAAATTACATGCGTAAAATAGAAATATATTGTTTCCTGTGTGGTATAATACCTACTCTGCATTCTTCCCTCATAGCTGTGCAGAGCCCTGCATGACAGTGTGTGGATGCTAAACATCCTGTTAGATGATACTGTAATAAAGATCAATATACAAATTTACTGCAATAAAGACAAGCAAATTATCCAGGGGTGAGCATGGCTTTTGAACACTATAATCTTTGTCCACACAGCAGCAAAGCAATGTCAAACTCTGAATATCTGAAACGCAGGAAGTAAAACAGCCTCTTTAATGAGGCTTTTTTCCACATAGGTGTGGTAATGGGAAATAACAGACAGATCACACTGTAGATTTCAGGTAGCACAGAAACAGTCCTGGAAATAAAGGTTTTAAACTTTTTCTCCCCTTTGGCAAATAAGAATTACTTTGGAAAGTGAGTTGAGACCTTGTGCCTCATGTACCACCCAGGGTGGCTTAATGCCTATGGGGCTTTTGACAGGAAAACTGGATGAGAACATGAGGAAAACAAACGAGGCACATTTATATCCATTATATTTTGTATTGGTACTTCTCGTATAAAATCATTAGGGTTGCAAAAACCCTCTAAGATCATCAAGTCCAACCATTCCCCCAGCACTGCCAAGGCCACCACTGACCATGTCCCCAAGGGCCACATCCTCATGGCTTTTAAATTCCTCCAGGGATGGGGACTCCAAACTGCCCTGGGCAGCTGTGCCAGGGCTGGAAAACCCTTTGGGTGAAGAAATTTTCCCCATTACCCAAATTAAAGCTCCTGGTACAATCCAAGGCCATTTCCTCTTGTCCTGTCACTCACTGGTTTCGAGAAGACCCCAACCTTAAATTTGGGGGAAGTTGCCCAAACCAGGATGGCTCAGCAGGAGCCCTCCTGGTACAATCTGAGGCTGTTTCCTCTTGTCCTGTCACTCACTGGTTTCGAGAAGACCCCAACCTTAAATTTGGGGGAAGTTGCCCAAACCAGGATGGCTCAGCTGGAGCCCTCAGTGCACCTCTCCAGCAGGGAGTGGTTTCTTGGCTTTGTGCTCACACCCCAGCAGTTCTCAACTCCAGATTTTTGATCCATTAACTCATCAGGACTCTGATCTTTCCCAGCATTCTCAAACTTTTCTGTCCAGCTGTCAATTCATCCTGGATCTCCACACTGTCCCTTGGACTTCTCATCAAATGCAAAAGTATCATATTAAAATTCAAAAATCTATTACCTTATCTTTCTTTAAATACTGGTTTATAGCTCTTTTTTTCTCATTTAACCTACTCATGTTTTCCATTTGCTACTTGTTTACTTCCAACCTCCATCCTGTATTAACAGCAACAAAAATACTAGAAATGCCTAATTACCTCATTTCACTTTTGTTATTGTCTGTGGACTGAAATATTTTCTTGTGATAATTCATTTTACTTTCATTTGTAATCAGCCTGGCAAAAAATGAAAAGAAAGATTAAATGATTTGACTTGAAAGAGTATTTGTTTGACCTTAAACAAAGTAATTAGAATTCTTTCTTAAACTCTATCTTTAACTATAAAGAAATTGACTTTTTAAACACTACTTTTGGTTTGAAATTATCCTTTTCAGCATTCTCTTTCTTTTTTTGAAACATTATGCACATATTTTGCTTGATATGATTCAGCTTTTTATTTTAATCAAAAAGATTTGATAGAAAAGTTTCCCATTCTCAGAGACATAAATGGACCACAAAATGTTTTAATACTTTACTATATACATTTATGTGCAAATTCAGACTTTATGTCCAATTTCATGTGTTTTTGTTTTACTCTATAAAGTTTGCTGGGCAATGATGCCTCCATTTAATGTTTGTGCAACACCTGCCACAAAAATATTTGGACCTTAATGTGGATTTTTTATTCATAGTCCAAACCAAACTCCAGGAAAGGATAAAATTGTTGTAATTTTCCTGTCCTTTCCAGATTTAAACTTGGGTCAGGTATCTCTCAACAAATATGCTGAACAGAAATATTCACATGAACAAAAACCTTATTTATCCAGCCAAGTGGGAGCACTTAAGGGTTGTTTAATGTCTAAGTACAAAACTATTAACAAGAACATAAATTTTACCAAGAATGTTGGCAAGAGAAGATGTATTCCTTCAAGGATTTATCTGTACCCATTAGTTTAGGCCTTTAGCAAGACGTTAAACATCAGAAAAATTAGTTAAGGTGTCACTTTAAGGGCCTGAAAAATGTTGGAGATGGTTTGGGCAGGAAAAATCACCTTTTGGTATGGTTGGTGTGTTTTAAATAGCTCCCAAACCTTCTGGGCCATCAGTATGCAATTACTTGAGGAATAGTGAGTTGACTGCACGTGGCTGCTGTTGGGAGATGAGGGTGGGAGAGAAAACCAAACAGAACTGGTTGTGGTTGTGCCACCAGAACAGGCAACTACAAAGGGCCATCCAATTTTGGGAGTTTTCAGTCTTGTATCCACAAAATAACAATGATCCTGAATTTTAAGCTGTGATGGAATCAAAGAATGATTTGGGTTGGAAGAGAGTTTAAAAATCATCTCGTTCCACCCCCTGTCATGGGCAGGGACACCTTCCACTAGCCCAGGTTGCTCCAAGCCCTGTCCAGCCTGGCCTTGGACACTTCCAGGGACGTTTGGCTTCTTCATGCCATCAGAGCAAAATTATTTAAGCAAAAGATAATGGCACAGCATTAGCTGTGTCTCCAGTGCTTCTCAAATGGATTATATGACAATTTTTGGAGACTCAGGGCTTCCAGCTGTATGGAAATGTCTCATTCACTGGCAGAAATGCTGGTGGGGAGCAATGATCTCAAATTTCTGGCCTATTTTCAATTGGGATCTGCAGTGTCCTTTTCTGGTATTACTCAAAGGACAGCGAGTTTCAGTATATCCTTAGGATATCATATAAAATAACTGCACTAATTATTCCTAGCTGAATGATCCAGTCATTTTTTAAAATATTTTTATTGTCCCTTCCCCCTCTGATCCTGCAGCACTTTGCAGGTTTGAGACTATAACCAGCAATTCTGTTTGAAAACTTATCACCTGATTAAACACTGTTGGTTCAAGTTGATAGGAAGAACTGCCTAAAAACAAGGAATCAATTTTAAGCCAAGGGTTGCACTTTTAAAACCACTACTTAAAAGGGGCACAGTGATGTAATTAGTCAGGGATGTAATTAGAAACATTTCAGTGATGGCTTGAGTGAATGACACTTCTTGCTTTGCTGTGCATTTTGGAAATGTTAGACCCTGATTCAAGTTCTCAAAGTGACTTTTGTCTTTTGAACGTGGTAGAAGTGGAGAACATAGCTGGCAATTGCTTTGAGGGGATGCTCTTCTGAGGCTCCCCAAAATGCCTTTGCTACAACCTTGCCCCTGTACCATGGCCTTTATTCAGATTGAAAGGGAATTGCAAGCAGCAGTGTCAGCTTGAGCAAAGAGCAATCAGACTTTGCATCTTGAAGAGATTTAAGGCAGCAGCTTCTAGAGACACAGTTAGTGATATTTGGGCTAGGACTGACTTTTGGCTCGTAGTCGAAGATTTGGCTGTGGGGTAACTTAAAGTGACACAGGGCAGGGTTAGATGGGATATTGGGAATAAATTTTTGGCTGTGAGGGTGGGGAGGCCCTGGCACAGGGTGCCCAGAGAAGCTGTGGCTGCCCCTGGATCCCTGGAAGTCTCCAAGACCAGGCTGGACAGGGCTTGGACATCCTGGGCTAGTGGAAGCTGTCCCTGCCCATAGCAGGGGGTTGAATTTAGCTGAGTCTTTATGGTCCCTTCCAACCCAAACCATTCCACAATTCTATGACAGCTTAAAATTCAGGATTGTTGTTATTTTGTGGATGAGACTGAAAACTCTCCAAATTAGGTGGCCCTTTGTAGTTGCCTGTTCTAGCAAGGGTTTTGTCGCCAGATGTTTTCCTCTAATTGCTTTGGTGGAAACACAGTGAAGAAAGGTGCTTTTTGAAGGGTTAATAAACATGAACAGAGCATGAACATGAACAAACATTAAATGGATCAGGATAGGAAAGATTCACTGAGGATCAGTGTTATTTCTTGTTCTACATTAACTTTAGGAAGGCAAAATGGTCTGGAATTGAAGCTGGGACTACAGCTCTAAAAACAGGTTTGAGTTGGCACTATGAAACCTCAAACCTTTCATATGTAGGATCTGAATCTGCATTTATATCTAATTAAATGATTTTCTTTTTAAAATAAAACACATTTCCTTGGTATATTTGAAAGCTCTTCATGGTAGGAGTAAAACTGATATTTTTAATGAGTAGCTGTTCAGAAACAGCCTTGTACACACAAAAAAGCTGTACATAAATTTGCTTCTGTGTACACAAAAGAAAAATTGAATATTTTCAAAGCTGTATAACCTGTTCTTTTTTCCCCCTCTGTAAAAACTGAAGGGTTAAGCTTCTCTGTAATTTGCCAAATCAAATGTTCTTTCCCGTAATCAGTGATGGATGGAATGTACAGATGTTTCATCATCATTTAATACTGAGCAAACCCCTCTAGAGTTTCTCCAGACCTCTTTATCTGTTAGTACCTGTTTAAAATTATGACTGATTTTTGTTTTTTTGCTGTATTAAATCCTTTCTTTAACAGGATGTAATTGATTATTTTTGTTTGAATTTTTTTTTTTAATGTCTGGCCTTCTGGGTTTGGGATTTTTTTAACTGTTTGGAGGAGGTGTGGGGTCTGGTGAGGTATTTTGGGATGAACCTATGTTTCCATGGAGGTAGTATCAGTTAAAACCCCTTCTCTCTGCCCCAGGCTTGGTATTTCTGGTGGCTCAGCTGAGCACAGGGAAGGGTTAAACAGCTGTATTATGGCAACTGCTTGGCACAGGGCAGCGAGTCCCCAGCTCAGATGACACTGCAGCCACTGTGGGAGAGGGACTGGTTAACCACCAGTGCCTCAGAGAAAAGCTTTGCCTTGCACCCTGTGACTTGTTTTTCTTGCTTGTGACATGGTGCAGGCTTTTGTTTAAAATGTGCATAATTTTGTAGCTACAATAGTTACAGACTTTAATCAGCAGTAAAGATAAAACAGTGTCGCTTTTGTTCCCTTGCTAAAGCTCTTTTCATGTGGTGTCACTGGCTGCTCAACAGCCACAATTAGCCTGGAGGTTTTGTCCAGCCTGGCCAGTCCACAGAGCAAGAACAATCCTTATTATTTTTCTTCCTACAGCAAAACATTTTCCACACATTTTCTCTACCCAGTTTATGAACCACAGAATGCACAGAATGACCAGGTTGGAAAAGACCTTCAAGATCATCGAGCCCAACCCAGTCCCAACACTTCAACTCAACCCTGGCACCCAGTGCCACATCCAGGCTTTGTTAAACACACCCAGGGATGGTGACTGCACCACCTCCCCGGGCAGCCATTCCAGAACTTTATCACTCTTTCTGTGAAAAACTTTTTCCTGATATCCAACCTGTATTTCCCTTGGTGCAGCTTGAGCCATGATCAGTCCAGGAGTAACATTCATCCTTGCTCATCCCACAGCTGTGCATGACCCCCCCAAAACGTCAAAGCACAATTCTCCCATTATTTCACAACCCTCTCACTTTGCTGATGGACCTGATCTGGCTAAAATCTCCCAAATGTGAATGGTGGAGGAGGAGGTCAATTTGATCCCTAACAAGATACTCATGACAGAATCAGGTAGGAGGATTTATTTTCCTTTCACACAAGCAGATATGCAGACCAGAATGTGCCAGTTGTAAATCTTACTTGAATGGAGTAACACAGCTCTCTCCCATCTGATGATTTGGCCCTTCATTTCTCATTGGTAAGAAATAAATACACTTTTCTTAATAGAAGAAAAAAAAAATGCTCCTAAGACAGTTCATCAGTTGTGTAACACTGCTTGGATTAAGATGGGAAAACTTAAATGAAAACCACAAAATTTAAATTTCTCATCAGAGATTAAGAACAACTGGCTTCCTTCTTTCCCCTTATGTGTCTGATCCTTTTGTTGCTATTTTTTTACTATACTGGAGATTATTGAAACAAAACTCAGTCAGTGGGCTCTGTTGCTGTGCTGTTCAGGGATAGTTTTGTGCTCTCCTCATAGCAAGGGACAGGAAAGAACCTGACATTTACCTCTGCTGTTTGCCAGGAGCCAGCTGGTCTGACAGCATATGTGTATTAGCAGGACAACTGGCAAAGCCAAGCTTTGTGTAGCATGTGCTCATTTCTTGCAGTGAGGGGGTCAAAAACCTGGCACAATAAAAGCTGGAGATACTTCAAGATTTTTGAGGAGAATGTATAGAAAATATAGGACAGAAATCCACAGAAAGGTGAGTCTTTTAATGCTATTCATAGAGGAGCTTATTCTGTGCATAACTGAACATGAGGTCCATTAAAATGAGCTTTCCCAGAAAAGCTGCAATACCTTGACTGTTTTAGTCTCTCATACTTAAATAATTTTGAGTCTATTCTTGTTAGTTCAGAAAAGTCTATGGCTGAAAGGTTTTCCTTCCCTCTTTTAAATTTGTGGTGCAAGAAATGATGTCTCATTCTCATTAATATAGAGTTTTGTCTGGGAAAGGGTGTTTGACCTTACAGGTCAAAGATGAACTTGGCAAGAGAAGAGGTATTAAAGAATTTGGGTGCCTTAAGTTGATACCTGATTGTAAGACAGAGTTCCTAACAGAGGGATATTGTTACAGGCTAACTCAAAGGAGTGGAAATTAGGAACCTAATTTTATTGCATTTGCTGGAACTTTCTTCTTTGCTGAGCAGGAGGAGAGGGGAAACAGTGCCCAGACCTCCTGTTTGGCATGAGAAGTGAAGAGCTTGGAAACCATTTATTGCCTGAAACTGTACTCTGCTGGTCTGCAATCCACTTTTCCCTTTAGCACTGGAAGATGGCATCTCTAATTTCCATTTTCCTGACACTGAAGTGGTTCTAGGATGAAATGTAAAGGCACAGAAGGCTCAGAAGGCACATCTGAGCCAGCATGCAGGAGGTCTGTGTGACAGCCAGAGCCAGCACCTCCTCTGCTGTGCTGCAGTCCCACATCTAAGCACACATAATTTTCCAAGTCTCTATCATTATGGTCATTTACTTCAGCAATTTAGATTGACTCATTAAAATGCTTCCCCTTCGTCTTCCCAGATGAGGCACGTTTAATGGGTGCATTACACAACCTCACACCTACCAGGACTGCTCTGAACTCACATGAAGGGCAGTTCAGCTCTGTTCCACCACATTTATCTGAGCATCCAAGTCTCATTTTGAAGGTGCCAAGTCTTCTGTCAATTACTATTCTGGTCACTTTTTGAGTTTCATTACAATTTCTAATGATACAGTGTTCAGAGGGAATCTGGAGATAAAACATGGAAGAGATTAGGCAATTTTTCAAGAGATAACCACTGTCACCTTACAGAGAAAAAAAAAAGATTTAAAGTAAATGTCCTCAGTGTATTAGAATATCTTGGAATATCTGAATGTTTGCCTACTAAGGAAATGCTCCTGAAACTTAAGTGTTTGGAAATAACACTGGAAAAAATGTCCAAGAAGGGAGATGTGAGATGCAAAACAGGGCATTATTTAAGCTTATTTGCTCAATATCTTACTTTTAGTTTCAACCTGTATCTGATGTCCATTCACCTGTAACTCATCAAATTACCTTGTAATTTACAGCTTTGTAATTCCCTGCAACTAATAACAGGCATGTGAATTAAGGTCTTAATTGAAAAAGTGGAGGATCTTGTGGCACCTTTTGCTCACTCCTTCCCTTTTCAGCCCTGCTAATCCCATTAGGTGCTTTGTTATGTTATGTTCAGAGCTTGTTATGCCTTTATTCTTACACCACCCTGTGCTGTGGGCAGTCACCTGGAGCCTCCCTCCTCTCACCTCTTCTTGCTCTTTTAATGGGAAATAGGGAGTTTTTATCAGGAGGCAAAAAAAAAAAAAAAATTGCCAGTACACAGCATCATCATCATCATCACCATCATTGCACTTTGGCAGCACTGAAGACAATTATTTCAAGATAATTTGCCATTAATATATATTAGACCACATCCTGTGACTGTTGCTCTGAGTTTGGGCAGACCAAGGTCAAAGGATATCACAAAATACAGGATTTGGACCCTTTTGCTGTGTTAGCTCCTTCTGTACTATTGGGATTTTCCTTTTAAGAGTGACCCACGTTGGAAATGCAGACTACGTAAGCCTTGACCCACTTTTGGGGAAGAGATGTTATTATACATTACCTTAAAAGGTTCTTAAGATATTTTTGGCCACTCAATACATAATGAAAATATATATTCAATACTTTAATGCAGAATATTTCTTAATAGTCTAAATGGGTCAAGGCACCACACTCACACTGACTTTAGATAATGCTCATTTTTTCTGCCTGTTTCCATGTCTTTTTCTTAAATCATTAGCAAGATTTTTAAAGCATTCACAGTGTCAAATAAATCACACATTTGAACTACTCTGACAGCATTTTACTGTTGGGTAAGTTGAGATATTATCAGTAACAGAGTTGGGCACTTTGTGGGATGGCCTGTATTGGCCACTCACCTTCAGAAAATCAGACAGTAAATGGTAAATTTTGCTTTTTTGTGTTGATTGTTTCCACATCTTCTGGAACACCTTTGTTTTATCATTTGTTCTTGTGATTTCTATGACTCTGCTCCTTCAGATGGGGTCACACCTAGTGCAGAAGTTACAGAGATTCTTAGCACTCCTGTCTTTTCCACTGGTACATTTACACCTGTTGAGCCTTGAAAGGAGTTGTGTTACATGAGCTGACTCCCAGTTTTATATAAATTTTACATATATTTTCCTGATTGTCTGATTGGCTCAGTGACAGCAGAAATCTGGACACATAATCAGTCTGTATACTCCCAACACTTGCTGGCATTTAGAGAAAATAAATATATTATAAAAAGTCCCTGATAGATGTTGTTTTTCCACTCTCAGCACAAAGCAGTGCAATACCAGACACACCTAAATTTGTCCTCCAGCAAGTACCCTGTCCTTGAGCCAAATATCCTTTAAGAGAGTCAGGGCTCCCCATAAAATATTTGTTTTCTCATCAGCTTTATATAAATAAGCAATTTCCCAGAAGCACTTTTCATTTGGCTCCCTATTACTCCAAACTCTCCCCAATCTGTATGCATTTATAACCTGCTAAGGGGAAAAAAACATTGAAGCATTAAAATAAAAGTATAAAATATATGTATATTGGTCCTTCAAGTCAATTGCAAAAGTTGTATTAATGTCAGTGTGTGTGGGTGGAAGGAAAGAGTGAAGTTAGCTAGAGCCTGAATATATAAAAAACCAACAAACCGGGAGTTTTTCCTAAAATTTCATGATTAGAATCACTTTTCACAGGGCTCTGTGACATCTCATCACAGTTCTACTGAGCACCTTTCTCTTCCATTCCCATCTGCTTTATGTAACTGAGACAGCTCCATGGCTTGGGGTAGAAAAGACCAGGAGAAAAGTCTGTGTTCTATTTCTTTGAGAATAAAGCCTTTCACCATGTGCTGAAAAAATGCAGGTACCACTGGTTCCTGCAGTTCCTCATCTCCTTGATCTTAAATCAGCTCTTTTCCAGATGCTTTTTCAGAATATTCTACCCTCTGTTGCTTTTATTTCAGTGTGGTTTCTGCTTGTTTCTTGCTTTGGGATATTTCGTTTTCCTTCTTTCTCAGCAACTTCACATCACCAGGAAATAAACTGCCACTAATCAAATGATTTCTACTTTCCTGACAAAATTCAAGTATTTATTTCTGCCATGTTGTAGTTCTTGACTTGCATTTTGAGAGACTACAGCACAAAGCAACGCAGATGTCAGCCCCTCTGAGGAGATGCCATCAGTTGATAATCTGTGATTAAACCCATGTTTAACTCATGTATAGGACACATCTGGGTTAATTTAAGGGAGGAATATATATGAATTTAAATTTAAGAAACTGCTTGAACTGTAATTCAGCAACTTTATTGCCCCACACAAATAAATTCTATCTTTGCCAACTCCTTTTCCAACTTAAACGTCTTTTCTTCTGATGTAAAAAAATCTCAAATCTGAAAATACCCAGTCCTTTCACTACCTCTGAAAGAAAAGCCTCAACTGCCAACTTGGTAAATATCCCCTCATAAAAAGACACATTTTTTACTTACAGTGGTCCACCTGCAGAAAATGAAATGAGTTCCTTATGTGGGGTTTCATCAATGATGTCTGCATGATAAATCTGTGCTATTTTTATGTCTTTGCCTTCTAGATTTCACCTGATTCTTATTTACAAAGGACAGATGCAATTCCCTGTATCCACTTAGATTTCACTTAGCATTTTACTACTGAAACTAACCCCTCAAAACCAGTAACATTTTTGGCAATGGCTTGTGCTTGCTGACTTCCAGTTCAGAAACCACTAGAAAAGGTTTCACCAATGTTAAATGTCTTTTATTTTTCAGTCACTGTTATACAGAGTAGCAAACACAGTCAATTAAAATAAGAATACTGTATCTAATGACATTACTTATTTATAAGACTAAAGCTATGTCCTTGTGGGTTTATGGTTATGCAGATCTAAGTCAGAGCATTTGAAATTAGCCTTCATTTTGACTTTGGCAAATAAGAAATATTTTTTAAAATCCTGGAAAATTTTTGTTTGGACAGAAATGGCTTTGTTTTGATATATTTATAATACAAAACAAAGCTAAAAGAATTGTAGAAATTGTCATAGCAAAATGACAGTTTTTTTTTTTTGCTCTTTACTTTGAATTGCCAAAATTCTGTGATGGAAATCACTCAGGTTTTATAAAATATTTTATGTAGTTTGCATGAAGAAATAGTGAAGTGGAATGGATTCTAGTTTCCTGTCAGAGAAATTCCCCAATTAGGATATTGGTAGTTTCTTTTTCCCCCACATTATTGCAAGTCCTGTGACCACTCTAGTTTGCCGTGTCCTTTCAATATTTCTGAGTAGATTCCATTTTAATGAAAAATCATTTTCTGTTTGCTCTTTGCTTTGCATTGCCAAAATTCTGTGATGGAAATCACTCAGGTTTTATAAAATATTTTATGTAGTTTGCATGAAGAAATAGTGAAGTGGAATGGATTCTAGCTTCCTGTCAGAGAAATTCCCCAATTAGGATATTGGTAGTTTTTTTTCCCCCACATTATTGCAAGTCCTGTGACCACTCTAGTTTGCTGTGTCCTTTCAATATTTCTGAGTAGATTCCATTTTAATGAAAAATCATTTTCTGTTTTCTTTCTTTAGGTTGTTTGGGTTTTTTAAGGGGCAGTTCATTCAGCTGTTATTCAAATAGGAAGAATGATTTGAAAATGTCAATATTCCTGCAGTGCCATTCCTGCTTTAGGTGTGCTTGATGTAAGGCCCATGAGCCCTTAGGTACCACTTGACCTGACTGACCAAGAGGTGCAACCATTTTCAGAAGCAATAAAGCTGCATAATTCAACTGAAACGTTCACAGCATTTCTGATACTGAAAACAAGGTTTTTATCTAAATATGGCAACCTTGTTTTATAAGGAGCATTCTTCTCACACTTCTCTCACAATTCTCAGGTCCACGTGGGTTTTTGAAATGTCATTTGCCTTCTGTGTGAAATTACCTCCATCTCCAGGCTCCAGTGGATGAGCCTGCTGCTGGATAACTGCATAACCCTGGAATCATTCACACACACACACACACACAAAGGAGTTATTTTATGAAGACAGGGCAAAGGGGTGTGAAATACTCCATGCATATTTCTCATGATCCATTAATATGTTCAGAACGAAAAACACCTGAATTTTATGTTGCTGTATTGTTCTGTAGATGAGAAAATATTTCTTAGTTGAAGTACATGACCTTTAATGGAAAAAAGGGTTTGACCTTTCTAAAAAAGTTAATTAACAAGGAAAACTCTGTAAATTAGGTCAAAATGTTCATTAAGATTCATGAAAATTCCAGCTTACAACACACTGGTCACCACCAGTAGTAGCTCTTGTCATCAAATGTCTGTATTTTAGTTTTTTCCTTCATTTTTCCTCTTTTACTTACAGAACCTGCTCCATTAGAAAAATTAGCTTTCTATAATTTTCATGACTCATCAAGGCCTGAAGGAAAAAACCAGAATCATCCACAGTCTTCTCATTTGTGACACAGACTATTAACAACTTCATTAACTTTCTTCAGGCCATGTTTTTGTTCAAAGTCTCTTGTGCACTTTTACAGGAGTTACTGGAAGGATGCATTGTCTTGGGCTTCTGTCAAGAGAAAAAAAAAGGAATTAGAAAGTTCACATTCATTAAAACATGGGAAATAATTCCTGTAAACATTATTGTAAGTAAAACAAATCATGGTCACTGCTTTGTGCTCAAAAGATAGCAAATACATTTGATTGCATTTCTTCTCATTAGGAAACTATATATCACAACCATCTGCTTTAACCCTTGATTGAGCACAGAGAATCATTAACGTAGAGCAAATCAGAAATTATATACAGGTAGAAAAGTTTCTTAACCCAAGTTTCTTATTCTAGACTACCAACATGCAATATTATGTCACATATAAATAATATGTCACATATATCCCTGTCATGTTCTGTCCTCCACAAATCTCATAAAGGCAACAGGAGATTGTATAATAAGGCCTGAGAAAGGATCAAAATTTAGCCCAATACTCAGGACACTGAAGAACAGTACTGGGACACTGATGAATCCAGCAATTTTCACTGTGATGAGCAATAACTGGGCAGCTTTCCATCTCACCTGTATGTAGAAAGCACAAGATGTAATAGTGGAAAAATCAGAAGGTTTGAGGGCAATAACTTCCCTGAAGTGAAGCAAGTCCATTGGCTGTTTTCTTCAAGAGCAGAATACTTCCTGAACTGGATTTGCAGCCATGGCAGCACAGAAACCCTTCTGCCCCTCAGACTGACAATTAAAGGTCAATCTTAATTTGTGACAGTTACATTAAGATCTGGATATTAATTCTTCTCCCTATGCTTTTCTTTGGCTGGGAAAACAAAGGGATTCTAGGGACAGGGAGGTTCCAGAAGACAACTTTTAACTAGTTCTGCAAAGGCAAGAGCCAAAAATACATCCTGCAGCTCTTAATCTGCTCACCTTCTGCCTCGTTCCTCTGCCACCTCCTGTCCCTTCTCTCACACACTCATCCCAGTTCCCTCCTCCTCTGGTGTCTCCCTCTCCTTGCTCTCCCTCCTGGATAAGACTCCCTGAACACAAATTCTGTGCACAGATGAACCACACTGAATTACAGCCTGCATCATCACTGTTTACCTCTGACAAGTTTCCTTAATTGAGATCCCCAGCAAGAAAAAACGATCCTGGCGTTGCGTGGGCTTCCCAGCCAAGGCCAGATTTCCTGTTGTTTTGATGCAGTGTGCAAACATAAGAAAATAGAACTTGTTTTCCAAGGAGCTAACAACATCAGCAGCACGAGGCATGAAGTGTTTACAAACAACAGATGGGAGACAAACAGCTCGAAGGTGGCGGTCAACGTGGGAAACAGAACTCTCTGCCTAAGAGCTGCTTGTCTGAACAAGGGGTTTGTAGGAAAGAAAATGATTATTTTTCTGATATATGTACAACTAAGAAAGCTTTGAGGTAAGAGAAATGGAGGCAGCTTTAAAGAAGTCAAGGCAGTTATGGAAGAAGAGCAGAGAAGATGCATTTTCCTGAGTTTCAGTCTTTGAGACAGAAACACATTAATTTTATAAATGTGAGAAAAAGAAGTTCTAGCATTTGAACTGAATTATACCACATTCCCTGAATATATGCAAAACTTCTAAACCCTTCTTTCGCTATCTCCCTTGGAAATACAGAGACCTAATGAAGCTACTGCAACGTGTCCTTGCAATTAAAGGTGAGAGATGATCTGCACAAACACACAACCCCCTGCTCTGATAATTGGTGGCATCAACTGAAGTTCAAAGGAAAATTTTAACAAAATTTAAAGCCTGTTCCTATGGTTTTCAGAAGAAACTATTTAAGGAAAAGGCCTTTTAACAGCCTGCTATGGTGGGCATTGATCTAAGTCCAACAGCAGCAAACAGCAGGTGTATTCTCTGTGTTTCTTCTGAATTTTTAAATTCAGCTTTCTGAAAGCAGTGAAGGTATCTGCCCCATCCTCTCTGGCATTAACAGACAGACCCCCTGTGTTTTTTTCCAAACAAACTACATCTGCTGCTTGCCTGCAAGTCTCTTCAGGGGTCTGAGGCAGGCTAAGTCCCTGGATGCTCTGCCTGGCAGGTTCTTTTGAGCCAGAGCAAGGGGTGGCAGAGGGCATGGCAGGGACCACTGTGTCATAGTCCACCTTGCAAGTGACTCTCCATAAAATACCCAATTTAAGTATCCTGCAGGATGGGAAGGCTTCACTGTGCTGCTCATGGAACACCCAGCACAGAAGGAAATACTTCACTACAGGAAATATTTTTGACACGTTTACTTGAGCAATACAGTGCTCAAGTAAATGTGTCAAAAATGACACACCCAAACTGAAATACAGATTCCCACATGTGTTCAGGGACAGAGAGTGATGTTAGTCAGTCCCTGGATATTTATGTCCACTCAGTCAAGTCCAAAAAGAAATGTCTTATTATAAAAGGCACTGAAAGATCTTTTGGGAACTCCCTTCAGCACAGGTAGCCAACTATCTACATTAAAGAAACAAGTTGGTTTGTCTTTAAACATCACTGGGCCTAAAAGAAGCTTAAAGTATTCAAAGTTCCACCTGCAGCTTTCAGTCTGAGTTGCCTGTGAGACAGATCCTCCTCAATTTCTCTCACTTAGATATTAGTTAAATGATTATTTTCCTTAAAACCCCGCACTAGTCTTAGTTTCCCTGTTCTCCAAAATTTTCTTTTTCACTAAAGCACAAATGCTGTACAAATAGGAACAGGCATTCAGGATCAGGTGGTGAAGAAAGCCCATTTAGACACAGAGGTATTGAGATAATAATAGGAGATGTAAGAACTCAAGAAAGTTCTTGAAGCAAACAATCAAAATGGTTTTCAGCAATGATTTCTCCCGGTGTAGAAGAAAGTTCTACAACAGAAAAGACAAGTAAAAGGTGTGGAGGGTTTTTTTGTGTGTACACAGACACAACGCTGAGAATTTTTGCTGGGCAAAGGAGGGAAATTCCTGCCGTGGTATTCTCAGAAGAATGAGATGTAGAGATAAAAACACAGCTTGTAATACTTCAAGAAGCAGACTAAGCCATTGTAAGACTGAAAACATGTCAAATATTTAGTCCAACTGAAGAAGCTGGTATTGTACAGTACTTAGATGCAAGGAAAATACAAGAAAACAGAGGAAAAAAGAGATAAATTATATGACAGATATTATAGCAAAAGCTAAATGTCCAGGTAAGCCAATTGTGAGGGAAAAACGAGATAAAATGATTGTTACATTAAAAAAAAAAAGACAAAAAGCTAGAATTAGCGTGAAAAAATAATATTGTGATTATATTTATAAACATGTTCAGTTTAATTTTAGGTCTATCCTCAATATAATTTTTTCTAGCATGCTGGAAAAGATAAAAGTTTTAGACTGTTGTCTTCACTATCAGAGTAACTTTGCCAGAGAACATGTCACCTGTAATCTTATGGAGAAAATCTGCATTTGTTGGATTTTAATGGTAGGTAGAAGAAAATTCTTTATACTACACTATATCATTTCAAGGTTCCTCCTTTCTAATGTTGTTATTAAAGAAAAAAAAATCAAAAGATGAGTTAGAAAGTCAAGCTCAGATCTGTCTGGGCATCAGCAAACTATAGATTAACATTTGAAAACCAGACTGCTGTGTGCTGAAATGTGCTGTGTGATACCCTTGGAACAAACAATCTGCCTGTAAACCCACAATTACCAAAGCAGAGTTCCTTGAGCAGAGAAACTTAAACCCCTTTGATTTCCTTTCCTTGTTATTCCAGGGAGCTTTGAGCTCTTCCAAGAAGAATGCACTCAGAGAACCTCAGTGCTCATCCTGCCATGTAAATCCTGTGAACTGTCCCCAGAACTCACAAGACACCACAAATTCTCCCGTGCATCCTCCTTCTGGTTGGTCACTCTGTCCTTACAGAGTTCAATCAATGATCCCACTCCTTCCCTGATGGCCTTTTCCACAGCTAAAGGCTACTCCAGCTATAGGAGGTGAATGTGCACAGTCAGAGGGTTCATCATGCACAAAACCCACTTAATAACTGGGTTCTGGATCCACAGCTCCACAGTTGATACACAACTAAAAAAAAAACCACCAAAAAAAAGCATCCATGCATTTTTCCCTTAAGCAGAACAGTCCTTTTGCCTGTCTTGCTAGTCCAAGTGCCCAATATCTCCACTGGTTTGGTGATGTTTCTTCTCTCTCTGTAGCTGGATGTTGGCAGTGAGAGAGTTCATGGAGTCAAAAGCATTTGTTTGGAGCTGTCAGTTGGCCTCCCCTGGCTGGGGTGAGCTACATTCACTCACTCAGCAGCTTAGCAGCTTATCTCAGTTTTTAGTAAACAGTGGTATCAAATTCAGTTTTCTTCCTTTTCTTTGAGACAGTGATAAAAATACGGGTGATTTCAAAAAATCACTTAATAATCTAAAGGAAAGAAAGAAATGACAGAGCTTCCTTCAGGACCGAGAAAAAAGTAAGTTCATATAGCTCTTCCAGATCTTCAGATTTCTTCATGGCATTCTGGGAGACCTCTTAGCAACAGTCTAGTAATCCATGTCTTCTGTCTCATAAAAGTGATGTGGACTAGGTAAGTAACCTCATTTATTTCTGAAATTGACACACTTTAAACAAAAACATACGAAACCAGCTGAATGAGTCCTTAGGTTCAAATTTACAAGAGATGCATTTGAAGCCTTGCTAATGGTGAAGGGGAGAAATACTATTTTTCATAATCATGCTTATTTCTTATTTGTGGTCTTACACGTACACTATAGCTCATGCTTATTTCAGTCAGATGCCTGGAGGAACATTTAGCTGACATTCAATTAGCAAAGTAATGCAGGGTGATAAAGCAGTAGGTAATTTACCATGTTCTGTTTGGGAACATTCCTTGTTGCCATTAATATTCACAAAACACCAGCCAGATCCAAAGGAAGGTACTGTCCCTACCTGAAACAACCTTTAATCCAAAACATTTGGATTACAAAAATATAGGCAAGAAACAGAAGGTCTGCAGGTAACAGTTTCCTAACATCACACAGCTCCATTTAACACGGTGGGAAGGACAATAACAGTACCTAGAAAAGGAATTTGGTGCCACCTATTAAAGCACAAACTAAATCCCCAGTTTGCCTTGCACCAAGAATTTGCATCTCATCATAAAGGGAAGGTCAGCCTAGCATGGTCTCTGTTCACACCTGACAATGTGAGATTAAAATAATTCAAAGTATTTATGTACATTACTGACTGTGACTACTTTCAGCTACATGCCTGCACCAAGTATGTGTCATGAAGCATCTGGTCACATTTAAATTAATATTTAAATGAGTTCTTGCCTAAGAACGGCTTCAATCCCTGAGAGAAGGTTCCTATGCAGCTCTGCTCCTCACTTATGCTGCACCAAGTATGTGCCATGCAGCATCTGGTCACATTTAAATTCATATTTAAATGAGTTCTTGCCTAAGAAATTTTTTTCCCCCGGCTTCAATCCCTGAGAGAAGGTTCCTATGCAGCTCTGCTCCTCACTTATTCACAGCAAACATTAATATAGATCCTGACTATATTTTGATATGGGAAGAGAGAAGAAAAAGACTGGAAACTGCTGCCTCTACTTGAGGCCTATCAGTCACCTGTACCACCAACATCATTCCCATACAGGCTGAGGCAGGGAAAATGTTTTGGCAAGATCCTCTGCAAGCCTAAAACTGTCAAGCAAAGGTAAAAGGACAGGAGGACTCCTCCCCCTCCCCTCCTTGTTGCCTATGAGTTTCTGTAGAAGCCAGGGAAGCAGATGGATGCCACAAGAGGTGCAAAGGATGCCTGGAACAACAGCACGGCAGCGGGATTCGCACTGCATGGGAACGGCAAAATCCCTTGGTGACACCCACGCTCCACAGGGATCCTCCACCACTGGGGCTCACGGGTTTGGAGCAGGATGGTGCCAGCACGTTCTGTCCAAAAGAGGCTGGAGAAGGTGCTGCCAGCGTAGCAAAAAGGAAAAGATAAGGTTGGTAAGATGAGCAATAGGGTTGAAATAAGGGGGAAATGAAAGTGCAAGGCTTTGCAGAGAGGACCAAACCCTGGTATTTGGTGCACAGAACCAGCAAATCATAGATTCAGTTAGGTTGGAAAAGACATCCAAGGTTATCGAGTCCAACCAACGACCCAACACCACCGAGTGCCATGTCCAGTCTTTCCTCAAACACCTCCAGGGATGGTGACTCCACCAGCTCCTTGGACAGCCCATCCCAATGTCTAATCATCCTTTCTGCGAAGAAATCCCTCCCAATGTCCAACCTGAAGGTCCCCTGGAGCAGCTTAAGGCTGTGACCTGTCATCCTGTCGCTCACTCCCTGGGAGCAGAGCCCGACCCTCACCTGGCTACACCCTCCTGTTAGTAGGGCTGCAGAACACCCAAGGAAGAAAGGACATACACAGATCTTCTGTAGTTGAACAGGAGAACTGAGGCTCCAGCAATCAATCCTGACGGTACATCCATAACCCACCGATCTTCCTTCCCCCTGCGAGGCGCCTGAGGCAGCCCATGGCAGGATCGCACCCAGAGAACGCCCCAGCTCCTCGCTCCAGCCCTGCCGCCACAGCTCCGGCGCTGGCCCGGGGCCACCCGGCTGTGCCTGGAGAGCCCCCGCTGCCGGCACTGCCTTCCAGCCCAAACCACGGCATGCTTTGGGCTGGAAGGGCATCCCGAAGCCCATCTCGTTTCACCCCCTGCCATGGCAGGGACACCTCCCACAGTCCCCGCTCGCTCCAAGCCCGTCCAACCCGGCCTTGGGCGCTTCAAGGGATGGAGCAACCGCAGCTTCCCTGGGCAACCTGTGCCAGGGCCTCGCCGCCCTGATACAGAGGGATTTCTTCCTACTACCTAACCCAAACGTACTCTATTTCAACGTGAGCCCACTCCCCTCGTGCTGTCACAGCCCGCTCTCGTAAACAGCCTCTCCATCCCTCCCGTGCCTCCCGCCCCCCCTGCGCCTCCCGCTCCGCACCGCCCGCACCGGGGCCGCGGCCCCCGCTCCCGCAGCGCCCGTGCCCCGCTCTCAGCCCCCCACCTGCCGCAGCCGTGCCCGCTCCATACTCACGGCCGGCCTCGGAGCCGGGAAAGCGGCGGGTCCATCCCTCCCTCCCTCGTCGGCAGCGCCCGGCGGCGCAGGCGCGCTGCCGCCTCCTCCCCCCGTGGCTGTGGCGGGGCGGCCGCGGCGGCAGCGCCCGGCTCCGCTCAGAGCCGAGCGAGCGCGGCTCGGGCCGGCGGCGGGAGGAGGGAGCGAGGCGAGCGGGGAGGCGGGGACCGGGCGAGGGAGCCGCGCCGCACACCCGGCCCGTCAGTGACCGGCGCTGCTGGGGAGGAGGAGGAGGTGGCGGAGGAGGAGGCGGCGGCGGCGGCGGCGAGAGATTCTCCCACCCCCACCCACCGAGCTGAGGTGAGGCCAGGGCAAAGCATCCTCCTTTCTTCCCCTCATCCCTTCCTCCCTTTCATCCTTCCTCCCGACCTCCTTCCTTTCATCCTTCTTTCCTTATCCTCCTTCCCCCTTATCTCGCCTTCCCCTCATCCTTCCCTGCGCTTCCTGGTCCTCCTTTCCTTTCTTCTCTCCTTAGCCACCTTTCTCTACTCCTCCCCATCCCCCAGGCTCCCTCTCCCCGTGCCCACATTTCGCACCCTCCAGATATAATAATCTTGCCTTCCCCCCCCCCCCCCCCCCGGTTTTTTTTTTTTTTTTTTTTTTTTTTTCTTAATGCAATTTCAATTCTCGCGCAGTGAAAGACCGGGAGAGGGAAAGAGACAGAGTCGGTCACAGAGATAATCCCCCCTCCTGTAAAGAATGGATTTGAATTAATGGTCATTTTGTGGTGTGTGTATTGTGGGAAGAGGGGGATTATATTTGGGGAAGAAAAGAGAGGGTCAAAGGTGTGTTGTTTCACTTATTCATCTATTTACCCGCCATCACTTCGAGGTGAAACCTGGCTCCGTGTTATCTTAAGTAATTTTTTTTTGTATTGTTTGAAATTATTCTCCTTTCTTCACGCATTAGAGGCTGCTTCCTCCCTTTCATCCATCGCCCTGTGCGTCCCTGTGCTTTGCTGCTGCTCCGATTGTGCGCCGGGAGCCGGCGGGGAAGGGTCGGGGAGCGGGGCTGGGCGCTGGGGAGGGGGCTGCGGGCACCTCCTCCCTCCCTGCCTTCCCTCTAGGCCTCTCCCAGGGTCTGAGAGCTTCCCAAGAGCTTCCCTGCACATCCCAGCCCGAGAGGTGCCGGCTCCCGGCAGAGGATCCGCTCCGGGGGCGAGGAGCGAAAGTTTAAAGCGTGGCTTTGTCTTTGCGTGGAGCCCCGGGAATGTTGGCTGGAAAGCGACGGCAGCCAAAGTGTCTCCTTGTGGGGCTCCTTGGAGTGGGAGAAGTTTTGCTCGGCTATGCTGGTGGTGGTGGTGGGGAGTGCCAGGCTCGCCTGGCTGCCGTGCCCATCTGGGAGGTGGTACCTTGGGGATGCTCGGCGGGACATCCGAGTGCCAGGGCTTCGGGAGAGAAACTTTTACACATATTTACAGCGGGGTGTAGCGTGAGGTGGCAGGAGCTTCGTCCTCTGGAGGTTGGAGGGGTGAGTGCCCTCCCTGGTGTCTCGCTGGCTGTGTGTGATGCCTGGGTTCTTTCTAAGGTGATGCTCTGTCACTTGGTGGTTGTGTCTCTCTCCTGTGGAGCATTGATTTGGTTGCAGGCGTGCTTAGGACAATTCCAGCCTTTTCAAACTTCTGCTTGCTGAATTCATAGTTAGCTCATTCTTCACCAGGATAGAAACGTTTCAACCCCCTGTTGTTTTAGAAATCCACAAATACCACAGCAGCCAATGCTACAGCACAACTCTGTGAGCCTGGGTGTTTAACGTGTGTGTTGTACCTTACCTTGGCATGTATTCTTGAAAAATGTTGGACTTGTCAAGACTGCCGTGAGTATTCTGGTGTGCCGGGCAGATGAGGAGCATAAACAGGGGCAGGCTCAAACAATGCTGCTGATGTGAACACCAGATTTTCCTGGCTTTGTGGCTATTACAATGCTGCTGGTTTTCCTTTCTTACCTGTAGTGCCTGTGATTGATACAATGCATTGTATCAGCCTTTTCATACTCCAGGTCAGACAGGATTCTTTCTAGAGGAAGAAAGGTACTGCCTTGAAGGGTGAAGTTCTGCACTCGATTGTGTAAATGCTTGTTTACAGAAATACCACCTCAGCTGGGTACAAGGTAGCTGTAATTCCATTAATGGGCTCTGCTGGTGACAGAAGCCTCAACAGGAAAGCTCCAGTGTCACTCCAGCCCTTACATGGAAATACAACTGTAATTCATGCAGATTTGCTGAGAGCTCTTTTAATATTAATGTTGAGCATGCATGGTACTACTGAAATGCCTTTGAAGCACTGAAAACCAGGAGTATTTGTAGACCGAGGCTTGAAAGCCAAAGGAAGCAATTAGATCTCCTGCTCTGACCCCTGACTGTTGCAGTCAGTTGGGTTTCATCCAGTTACTCTTGAATGCAATAATGTGCATTTGGCTGAAACATGTTTTCCAGAAAAATTGGAATTTTGATCGGAAGACAGTGAGAGGTAGAGGATCTGCTGTTTATTAAGTTATTTGGCTTCAGCTTCCAGTCACTGGTTAATGATGTGCCTTTCTCCACTGTGTTGAAGAACTCAAAGTATTTTCTTACCATGGAAGTATTTATCTGCTGTAACCCAGTATTCCCTCTCTTTTCTACTTGAAAAACCAAGTGAACTGAAATTCTTTAAATTTGTCACTGCATGCATTTTCCTCACAACTCAGTTTCTGGGGATTGTTTTTTCCAAATCCACTTTTTCAGCATTTTTATGAAAACGTGAGCTGGGTGCAGCACACCAGAGCTTTGTCTCAGGAGTGTTTTGTGTGTTTAAATATTACCTCTCTGCTGTTACTCTCCTGCTTCTGCATCACATTTACATATTAAACCTTCATTTGCAGCCCTGCATTTTGATCTCCTTTTCTCTGGGTACTCTCACTGTGGCAAAACCCTTTGCAGGACTGTTTCTTTCCACAAGAGTTCATCATTCCCTAGACTGGCATGTGTTTTCCTGATTGCAGCTTTATAACTTTGTACGTGGCTTTTTTAAATAACATTCTGTTTCTGGCATTGATTGATGATACCCAACACTCCTGATGGCTTTTTGGAACTGATTTATCTCAGTTATGTAGCACTCTATCAATTTATACTTGTGTGAATTATGTCATGAATTATGGTGTAGACTTACAAATAATTGAAAAGGTGTTTTGTGGTAGTGGCTCTGCCTTTGGGGAGCTCCATGATAATCTGAGTTATGTTGTGATGAGTTCTTCTAAAAAGCTGTTATTTTTTATTTTTGAGATGTCACTTAACCAGTTCTTCACCAGTTTAATTGGTTCTGTTTTGTTGTCAGGCTCTCACAGAACCCTGCACTAATGCCAGAGAAGTTTATACAGGCAGACACTTATTTCTGCCAATTGGAAGTATCAGTTATCTCAAGGAATTAAAGCACAATAATTTTAAAAAATCAGATTTCATTATTTTACTTCCTATTATTTTTTACAGAGCTCTGAGGTATCAGTTGAGTCCCCTATAATTTCTCTTAAATTATTGTTTTGTTCAGAACTGCTATTGTTCCAACCTTCCTATGGTTACAACCACAGCATGTTTGTAACCTAAGTGTTCATTCAGACTGTTGGAATTACCCCAGGATTTTCAGAATTCCTAAAAATCCATGCTGGTAGGACAGAGAACTCCTTGGACACTTCTGTGACTTCTTCTCCATGGTGATCTTTGGTCCTGCTGACCAAAAATATTTACTGCAAAGTAACACTGTTTTCACGTTGTATTTGCAATGAGATGGAAAAATAATTAATATTCTCATGAGGTACCAGGGAATCATCAACTTCTTTGCACATGCAGAATGACTTTTTGAATGTATCTGCCCTTTTGCACTATTGGTGTAGCTCAGAGTCCCTGTTTAGCACTACACCTGTGTGACAGCCGAGTTTTCTTTTGTTCCTGCAGTTCCCCCCTGCTTTTTCTCCTGCTGCCAAGAAATGTCTTCATCCTCACCTATTAGTTTTTTACACCTACTGTTTCAAAAAGTATGAATTTTTTATCCCTTAACACTTTTCTTCTTGTTACATATGAATTATAACCACAGTATTTATTGAAATCTGTTTTGTGGCCAAATTGTAGTAGTTATGACAATGCCTTGCAGGTATTACATGCTGTTTGAACACACCAGCATGAGATTATTTTATTTTTTTTTCTGTCTAGAGTGACAGAAAGACGTTTTGTTACATTTTAGGTGAGTAGGCTTTGCTTTTAATACAGCATGTTCTAAGGGTTGGCTAAAGAAAGCTGAACTCTTTCTTCACTTGCTCCACAGTTTGTTCATAGGTGTATAAAGCAAAGGAATACTTTGAATTTAGATATGATATCAAATGGCCATGGGAAGATGAAGGGCATCTATACAGAAATAATAAAAAAAAAATCACAGAATGGTTTGGGTTGAAAGAGACCTTTAAGATCATCCAGTTCCAACCCCTGCCATGGGCAGTGACACCTTCACTATCCCAGGTTGCTCCAAGCTCGGTGCAGCCTGGCCTTGGACACTTCCAGGGATCCAGGAGTGGCTACAGCTTCTCTGAGCATCCTGTGCCTCACTCACAAGGAAGAAGTAAATAAATAATACTATATGCAGTTGTAAATGAGAAGGGCAACATGCAGAAATGAAGAGTAACAGCACTAACCTGTCAGTCTTTAGAGTGGCATGCTTAGGACATTACTTGATGGAAAGTTTTGTGGCTCAGGTCTGTAGGAATTGCTCCCTCAGAGCTGCTTTAGGTAAGATACAAGAAGGAGATATAAAAAAGACCAGAATGGGAAGATGAAAGTTACAAGAAGAAAGTTGTTTTTCACAGGAGGGTGAGAGCTAGTCCTGACTAAGATAAACTTGTTGATTTCTATAAACATTGCATTTGTTACATTTGTTGGGATTAAGTGCTCTGAGAACGTTCCCCAGGCACAGCTTCCCAAGCCAGCAGGCTGCTGCAGGGAGCAGGAGCTGCTGAGGCTCTCATTCCTCTCTGGAGCTCCAGTACTGATGGGTGAGATCCTCCAGCTGGATCAACAGCACCTGAACCTGACTGGGAGCAAATGCTGCTGGGTCCAGCCTGCCCTGAGCAGTGCTGGAATGTAAAAAAGACGCGATTTCTTAAAGTCTGCTGTAAAAAAAGGTTGAAGTGACAACAAAGACCAGAAACCAGGTTTATTGTTTCTTTTTGTATAAAAAAAGTGATTGATAACTCAGTTAAAGAACTCAAATTGTCTCACATTATCTCATGCTATCTCACGTATTGGTGCCCCCAGTATAAGAAGGACATGGAGTTGTTGGAGCAAGTCCTGAGGAGAGCCAAGAAGTTGCCAAGGGGACTAGAGCATCTTCCCCATGGAGACAGGTTGGGAAAGTTGGGGCTGTTCAGTCTGGAGAGGAGAAGGTCATGTGGAGACTTCACAGCACCTGCCAGTATTTGAAGGGGCTGCAGGAAATCCAGAGTGGGATTCTTCATCAGGAGCTGTAGTGACGGGATGAGTAATGGGTTCAAACTGAAAGAGGGGAAATTTAGGTTAGAAATACAGAGAAATTAATCCCTGTGAGGGTGTTGAGACCTGGCACAGGGTGCCCAGAGAAGCTGTGGCTGCCCCTGGATCCCTGGAAGTGTCCAAGGCCAGGCTGGACAGGGCTTGGAGCAACCTGGGACAGTGGGTGTTATCCTGCCCATGGCAGGGGGTGGAATAAAATGGTCTTTAAAGTCCCTTCCCATTCCATTATTCTATTCTGATTTTAAGTTATTGCATTGTAGCTTCTTACTGTCTTAGAGGAATCCATGGTACATCTAAATATATCCCAGAGTGATAACACTGTTGTATCAAGTCTTTGGTTGGGCAGGCTCAGCTCTGCAGCTGTAAATGAATTTTGTATCAGGTTTCTGGATAAGAGCTCTACATCTCAGTTTTCTCATGATTTTCTCAGCATCACACACGAGCCACTGAGCGAGCAGTGATATCTGGTTCCAGGCAGTGGTTGGATACAGAAAGGCTTTCCTGAATGTTTCCAAACACTAGGAGAGGTTGAAGTCATATTTATACAACAAATGATCAGCTGCTCTGGGGAAATAAACTGTTGTGACCATCAGTTAGCAGTATAATTGATTGGAAGGCAGGATTTTTGTGTTCCTTGTGTTTTGAATAATTTTTTTGTTTTGGCATGGAACAAGCACGTGAATTTTAAAATTGCCAGCAAAATGAACAATCTTTCCCCTAGTAGATCCCTTCTCCTTCTGTCCCCATACACATTTTATTGTTTCAGATGTCTTGTGCTGTCATGAGACAAAGCATTTTGACTTTGTAAGGGGCAGGAGGACAGCTTTTCTGTAGTTTTTCATTGGTTGTGTGGACAAAGCACACCT